ACAGCGGATCTTGTTCATTTTGAACAGGACTCGCTGTCCGCGCCGCCGCGGCCTGTGTCCATTCGAGATAGGAGGCCGCCTGCCCAACAGCGGCCGCTGTTGGTTTGGGACAACATTTGTTGTTGGGCATTGTGCCCATTCTTTCCGTACCCATGTCGGGCGTCCAAAATCATGCCTGCCGCAGGACGGTTCCACAGTGGCCCCCTCCGTCCCTCTCACGGGCAGGGAGCCAAAAAACAGGCGCGCACACCCGCCAGAGGCCGAAGGGCAGCATTGATCATCTGTTTTTTTGTGTTTTTAGTTGTTGTTGTTGTTGTTGTTGTTGTTGTTGTTGTTGTTGTTGTTGTTGTTGTTGTGGTTGTGGTTGTTGTCGTTGTTGTTGTTGTTGTTGTTGTTGTTGTTGTTGTTGTTGTTGTTGTTGTTGTTGTTGTTGTTGTTGTTGTGTTTTTTTTGTGTGTGTGTTGTGTGTGTGTGTGTGTGTGTGTGTGTGTGTGTGTGTGTGTGTGTGTGTGTGTGTTTGGTTTTTGTTTTTTTTCTTCTTCCCCTCTTTGTCAATTCGAGCTTCGCGCGGCCCGCTTAGCCTCGCCCGGCAGAGGTGCGCTCTCGACCCGCGGATCAAAACATTATTTAATCGCTTCGCTCATGCCGCCGGCCCTGGAGCCCTCTTTAGGGCCTCTTGGGGGCCTCTTGGGAACCTCTTGGGAGTCTCTTGGGGCTCCTTGGCGGCGTTTTGGAGGCCCCCAGGGCCTCTTGGGGGGCTCTTGGGGGTAGTCGATTGCGGCTCCCCCCTCGGAGGCCACGATCCTCGTGAGGGAAACATTATTTTTTTTTGCGCGTCTGCCCCCGGAAGGCCTGCCCGGGGGGCTCGCTCGCTCCGCGGGCCCCCAGAGGGACCCCACGGGGCTTCGCTGCCCGCCCCGGGCTCCCCACGGCAGGGCGTGCACGGAGGTCCTGCCTAGGGCGACGCAATCTATACATATCCGCTGCTCCCTGGCCAGGCCCATCCTGAACACAGCAGCTGTGTATACGCCACGCCCTCCTGGTTTGGCCAGGAGGGCGTATACACAGCTCCTGGGTTCAGGATGGGCCTGGCCAGGGAGCAGTGGATATGTATAGATTTCGTCCCCCGACTGCCTCGTCGCATCCGCGTGCTCCTTCTCTTGGGGGCGTCGAGGAAGATCGCCACCTGCCAAGCCACCCCAACCCAACCCGAAGGCCTCAATTTGCCGTCCATTTCCAGTGGGGGGGGGGTCGGGGGAACGTTGAAAAAGCACATGGAATCCGTACCCCCCCCCCAACCCGAAATTCGGGTCAAGTTCGGGCCTTCGGGTTGGGTTGGGGTGGTCTGGTAGGTAGTCAGAAGGGGGTGCGGACTTTGGGGTGTGTGGATATCATGGCCGTGGCCGCGCGATCTCCCAGATCTCATGGCCCCTCGTTTTCTTTCCCGTGCGCTCCCTGCACCCCCTCGCCTGCGTACATGCCTCGGGCGATGATGATGCGCTAAGTAACCGCTACAACCCTGCCTCGGGCGATGATGCGCTAACCGCTGCAGTCAACCCGCATCGCATCGTAAGGATAAGAGCGACTTTCCAAGGTTGCCCCTGCCTCCTTCCCCTCTGGCCCATCCCTGGCCGCTCTCGCTGGGCGCGCCCCGCTCGCAGAGAGTCGACATGGCCTTCCAAGGCCCTTGCATCCTTCTCGTGCGTCCTGTTTACGTATACGGGTCGACTGTAACCGCCAACCCCCCCTCTCATGGCCCCTCCCCCCTTCGGCGCACCTGGGCACCTGCTCGCCGTGGAGGCGCGGGCCCCCCGAGGGACTCGTGCCCTGGGCTCCGACGGGGCCTCCGCCGGGACCAGCCCCTCGTCCCGAGCCGCTCTCCTCGGACGCCCCTTCTGGGCACTCGGGCGGGGCCCTAGTTTGGCGCGGAAACGGCGACGCGGGGCGCGTTTTTTTTTCGCGTCGGCTGCTTCGCCGTCTGGTCGCTGCCCTGCGCCCTGGTGGCGGCGAAGAGGTTCCAGGACCCCTTTTTCCGAAGGGCCCTCCCCCTCCCCCTCCTCCTCCTCCTCCTCCTCCTCCTCCTCCTCCTCCCCTCCTCCTCCTCCTCCCCCCTCTTCCTCCTCACTCTCCTCCTCCTCCTCCTCCTCCTCCTCCTCTCCTCCTCCTCCGCCTCCTCCCCCTCCTGCTCTCCTCTCCTCCTCTCCTCCTTTCTCCCCTCCTCCTCCTCCTCCTCCTCCCCCTCATCCTCCCCTCCTCCTCCTCCTCCTCCCTCCTCACTCCTCCTCCTCCTCCCTCCTCCTTCCTCCTCCCTCTCTCCTCCTCCTCCTCCTCCTCCTCCTCTCCTCCTCCCCCTCTTCCTCCTCCTCCTCCTCCTCCTCCTCCTCCTCCTCCTCCTCCTCCTCCTCCTCCTCCTCCCCTCCTCCTCCTCCTCCTCCTCCTCCTCCTCCTCCTCCTCCCCCTCATCCTCCCCTCCTCCTCCTCCTCCTCCTCCTCCTCCTCCTCTCCCTCCTTGTCCTCCTTCCTCCTCTCCTCCTCCTCCTCCTCCTCCTCTCCTCCTCCCCTCCTCATCCTCCTCCTCCTCCTCCTCCTCCTCCCCCCCTCCTCCTCCTCCTCCTCCTCCTCCTCCTCCTCCTCCTCCTCCTCCTCCTCCTCCTCTCCACCTCCTCCCTCCTCCTCCCCCTCCTCCTCCTCCTCCTACCCCCTCCCCCTTCCTCCTCCTCCTCCTCCTCTTCTCCCCTCTCCTCCTCCCCTCCTCCCCTCCTCCTCCTCCTCCTCCTCCTCCTCCTCCTCCGTCCTCCTCCTCCTCCGCCTCCTCCTCTCCTCCTCTCCTCCTCCTCCTCCTCCTCCTCCTCCGCCTCCTCCCCCTCCTCCTCCTCCTCCCCTCCTCCTCCTCCCCTTCCCTCCTCCTCCCTCCTTCTCCTCCTCCTCCTCCTCCTCCTCCTCCTCCTCCTTCTCCTCCTCCAGGGTGCCGCCACGCTCGGAGTCGCGCGCCCTGCGCCCGCGGAGCTGCCTGCGGTGGCGCCCCCTCTCCTCGGGGCGTCGGCCTGCTGGTGCCTGCGAGCGCCCAGGGCCAGCACTGCCAGCACGGCGAGGCACGCAGCAGAGACACTCGACACGGGTGCTGCTGGTGCCGCGTCTCTCCGGGGAGGCGCCGCTCTCGTGTCCCGGGAGGTGCTGCTGCTCGCCGCTCCAGGGCTCTAGATAGGTGGCCACATGCGAACCCTACCCCTACTCCCCACGATTTCTGAGGGGGGGAGGGTGGGGTTCACTTCGCTCGGGAGCTCCCGAACGAAGTGACCCCCCCCTCCCCCCCCCCCCAGAAGTCGTGGGGGGTAGGGGTAGGGTTCGCATGTCGCCCCCTATCTGGGGCCCCTGTTCTCTCCTGGGCGACCCCAGGCAGTCCGTCCGCGGACCCCGCCCAGGGGTGCGCTCGGGCCAGCACCTTCTGCGGGAGTCTGGCCGTGGCGGCGAGGAGGCTCTCCGGGCGGTGCAGGAAGACGGAGACACACGCACAGAGAGCCGCGGAGCCGCACGGGTGCAGCGTGGCTCGTCTCCCCGCCCCTTCCCTCCGCACCTGCATGCATCCTTCTCGCTGTCTTCTCTGCCCACTTGTCCTCTCCGCAGCCGCTCGGGTCACGGGGGGGACCGCTCGTCCCGCCCTCCCACCCTCTTCTCTTGCAGAAAGACAGAAACACATGAACGCTCGGTAGCAAATTACGGGAGCCTGGTATGCCCTCTTAAGTGCGTCTCTGGCGTCGATTAGCGTCTGGGAGTCGATGAGATAGCGCCGATTTGGCGTCGGTTAGCGTCGATCCAGCGTCGATCCAGCGTCGATTTAGCGTCGATCTAGCGTCGATTTAGCGTCGATTCAGCGTCGATTAGCGTCCACCCGCAAGAGCCGACAAGATGGTTTGGGAGGCTCCCATGAGTTGCCACCGAGCAGACGCTCGAACCTCGATCCTTCGATCCTCGGACCACCTTCCCTTCGTGCTGCACTGCGAGGGCCCCAGCACCGCACTGCGCCTCGTGTGCTCGGAACCGGCCCGCTGGCAGTGCCGTCCGCCCCCTCGCCTTGAGAGGCCCCCGGGAGGCCCCCTAGGGGGGCCCCGATAGGGCCACAAGACGGCCTAAGAGGCCCCCCAAATTCAGGCGATCGCAAACATGGATCAAGGGGGCGTGGATTAGCGACGGGTCCCGTTTCCATGGGGAATCAAGGATTTCTGCTTCCGAGCGAGGCGGCACCGGCAGCATTTTGGAGAGGGCTCCTCCCCCGATCCTTGGGTTTGGCGACCGCGTGCCAAATCCATGGATCGCTAATCATGTTTGTGCGCCCCCCGGAAGATGGCCCCAAGACGTCTCCATAGACCTCCAAGACGGGCCTGAGACGTCCAGAGAGAGAGAGACCCACGACTGCCCAGCGAGGGGCCCCAGGACGGCCTCCGAGGGCCAAGAGGCCCCGCACACCGCCAAGGCGTGTTCACACCCGCCGCTGCGGCGTCGGGCCTCAGGATCGGGTCGGACGAGAGGGAGAGGGGTGGGTCACGAAATCTGCTGCGTGCGCGTCCACACCCACCGCTTCAGGGCTCGTTTCGACACCTCCGATTCGATTCGGTTCGATTTCGATGGCTTCCGATTCCGATTCGACTCGACTTGGGATTCCGATCTGGGCTCCGATTTCTTATCGAAGGCCTACCAGCCTGCCGATCTCCGCCGATTCGATTTTTTTTCCGACTCGGCTGCCGATTTCCGCCGATCCGATTCATGTGTATCGCCGATCCGACTTATCGATTCGATTCTGCGCTCTCCTGGACGAAATCTGCTGCGTGCGCGTCCAGGAACGTGATGATTTGGAAGAGGAGGGAGAGAAGGAGGAGGAGGAGGCGGAGGAGGAGGAGGAGGAGGCGGAGGAGGAGGAGGAGGAGGAGGAGGAGGAGGAGGAGGAGGCGGAGGAGGAGGAGGAGGAGCAGTCGGGCCCCCGGGCCAGGTCGGACGACAGGGTGTGCTGCTCGGGGACAGGGGCGGCGAGCCGAGACTTGCCTGCCGCCGGCCTCGGCCTCGCCGCGCGGGGCGCTCTCCTCGACGCACATGGGCGCCTCGGGCGCGCCGGGAGGCGCCGGGGAGAAACAGTTTGGCGCGAGCTGACTCGCCGATTCTGCCCTCCCTGCCCTCAGTCTCGTCCGACCCGACGGGACTTCGAGGACCACTCCCCACCACCTACCAAACCACGCCAACCCAACCCGAAGGCCTCAATTTGCCCTCCATGTCCAGTGGGGGGGGGGTCGGGGAACGTTGAAAAACCACATATGGAACCCGTACCCCCCCCAGCCCGAAATTCGGGCCAAATTCGGGTCTTCGAGTTGGGTTGGGGTGGTCTGGTAGGTAGTCAACTCCAACGGAGGAAGCGACGCCTGCACAGGCACGAGTCTTCGGATGGTCCGCGCTGGTTTCTGTGGTCGGCGCGGGACCCCCCCTGCCCCGCGCGCGGCTCGCGCGCCGTGGGGGCCCGGAGCGCCGCGGCAGAGCTCGAGCTCCGCGCGTGCGGCCTCGGGGAGCGGGTCCCCGGCCGCCCCTCCGAGCGCCTGGGGGCGAGAGCGTCGGAGGCCGCGAGGGACGGGCGAGTGGATCTTGCACGGATTGAGTTTTGGAGGCTTCGGAATTGGCACCAACACCAAAACAGGGGGGCGCGCCCACCGGGGGAAGAGGATCGTAGACTTCGGTGTCGGTGGCAATATTTTTCGGCCGCCCAGGAAGCCAGAGTTTGACCACCATCACCGAGATCGGGATCATCTCTCCTCGGTTGGGGCACGCCGCCAATTTTGGTGTTGGTGTCAATCTCTGGGCCTGCCAGATTTGCCTGATATATTTAACGGTTGAGGTAATGAGCGAAATAGCGTGGTTTGTCGATGAGGTGTTCCATCCATCCTCTTTCCTTCGAGCGCCTCCCGAGCGAGGTCTCGCTGCTCGGACGAACAAAGTGGGTTGGTAGGGATTGAGATTCGAGGATATCCGAGCCACATCCCCGCTGCCCTTGCATGTGGACTGGACGGGATCACCGACGGAGGATTCGTCTCGGTCGTGCCCAATCGCAGTGTCTGAGCCCACAACGATCTCTTGGAGCCCCTCAGCATTTGGGCATCGTAGAGGTAGTGTTGACATGTTGTGGCTTCTAGAATTGTTGGCTTCATGAGGTCGCCGATGCCGCATGCGTAGCCGATGATTGGCAGAGGGCGGCATAAGAGTAGTGACAAAAACGAGCTCCTCGGCAGCAGGAGCTTATGCCAGGAACCGACCTCGTGCCCACGGCCACGTTCGCGTGGTTCTTGGAGACATTTGCGCCAGAGCACTGGCTGACGGTGTCGCTGGGTATCGAGGTGATTCTATCATGTCATCTTTATAGTGCCTTCTTCTCCCTCGCACTTCCCCGCCCGCTTCCTGGTTGTCCTGCTCCTTCCCATCCCCCTCTCACGAGCGAGAGATGCCATGCTGCCTGTGCCGTTTGTCACACGTTCTTCAGAGTGTCTTCCATGCTCTTACCATTCCGTTTTGAGGCCTGCATATGGTGGCAGTGCTTCACGTTTGGGAGCGTATATTTTGTCAGTGTCATCGTGATGGTGCCATGCGTTTCCCAGTGGACAGGAGGCTGGTCATGTGGCAGTTTATGGTCAGGAATTTTAGTGGCGGTTGCAGAAGAACGGTAGTCAAACTCATTTTCTTGCTGCACTAGAGTATCTGGTTCGACCGCCGCAGTGACAACATGACACTGCCCTGATACGTCAGTTTTTGAAACGCAACACGTGCTGCATTTAAAACGTTCGTGTTAACACGCAGCCTGTTGGCTCAACGTGTTGGCCCGCGTTCTGGTGAATGTGTCGCGCCAAACGTGCGGCTTCAAGCTTCGTGACGATCACCGTGTCAACACGCTACGGGTGGCGTGTTGCGTATCGGGGCAGCTAAGGCGGACATTGGCTTTGACATGCATAATTGGAGCGATTACAAGCTGATAGCATGACGACGGACGACGATATGCACCAGTGATAATGACGGCTGGTATCCTCAGGCGACACCAGATTACCCGCCGATGCAGTGCAGCCCCGGGTACGCGCATTAGTGTAGTGCCATGAGAACCAACATGCTGGCTCATCGTAGTTGACGTGGAGCGGATTTTTCCAGGTATTCCAGATCATTTGAGGTCTAGCCCTTCAGGGCTTGAGGTGTATTCGATCGGGCTAAACTCTACTTCGTTTTCTCTGAGTAGCCAGGCGATCGTCTTTGGCTGTAGGACAAGCCAGGCGATAGTTTGAATTGCAGGCTCAGTTGCGTCCTGGCGCTCCCATGGCGCCACAGGCGGGCCCGACGCGGTGCATTCACCTTCTTCGCCAGCGTATTCACGAACCCTTGCGTCCAAGATTGTCATAGCGCAAACCATGCCAGGCGGATGCACTCAGCAACATGTCGACCACTCAGAAGTTGACCTGTCACGCCACGACGAAGCGGGCAAAACGCGAACCACGTGCGAAACGGTATGACACGCCTGTCATATTGAAGACGCCTACGGCGAATCACCGTCGCCCCCTGCCTTTTGGAATCGCCCATGTGGCCGAGCGTTGTGGCAAGAGCTCGGCAAAGCTATCGGGCCATGTGTTCCCCCAGCCGTTGTGGAAACCCTTTGGGGAACACTTGGGGGAGGATGGCGGGGAAGATCAGGAGGATGAGGAGGAGGAGGAGGAGAGGAAGCAGATGATGATGATGCTGCTGCTGATGATGCTGATTCTGATTATGATGATGACGACGATGCTGATGATGATGATGAGGATGAGGATGAGGATTATGATGCTGATGATGCTGATGATGATGCTGATGATGATGATGATGCTGATGCTGATTGTGATGCTGATGAGGGTGATGCTGCTGATGATGATGATGATGCTGATGATGATGATGCTGATGCTGATGCTGCTGTTGCTGATGATGATGATGGTGATGCTGCTGATGCTGATGATGATGATGCTGATACTGATGATGATTTATGATTCTGCTGATGGTGATGGTTGATGGTGATGGTGATGGTGATGCTGCTGCTGAGGATGATGATGACGATGATGATGATGATGATGATGATGATGATGATGATCATGATGATGATGATGATGATGATGATGATGATGATGATGATGATGATGATGATGATGATGATGATGATGATGATGAGGAGGAGGAGGAGGAGGAGGAGGAGGAGGAGGAGGAGGAGGACGAGGATGAGGAGGGGGCATCGTGGGAGCCTCTGGGGCTCTCTTGGAGCCTCCCGGGAGCTTCCCCGGAGCCTCTTGGAGGGCTCATCGGGGCCTCTTTGGGCCTCTTGGGGCCTTTGAGGGCTTCCCCAGGGGCCTTTCTGGCCGTCTTATGGGATTCCTTGCCCGTCTGACGCCGTCGGAAGCCTTCTTGGGGACCTCTCTGGGCCGACTTGGGGCCCCCTTGGTGTGCTCCAGGGCTGTCTTGGAGGCTATCTTGGGCGTCTTGGAGGCCTCTTGGGCCCTCTTCAGGCCGTCTTGGGGGCTTCTCGAGCTTCATGAGGTCATCTTGGAGGCCTTTGGGGCCATCTTGGAGCGATCTAGGGGGCCTCTTGGGCCGTCTCGGACCGTCGGACGGTCAAAAAGAAGCAAATACCAAATCCTTCAAAATCCGATGGCACATCAATGATTTCGGCCTCGTCGGGCCTTCCTGGGGGCCCTCTGGAGGCCTCTTGGGCATCTTGAGGGCCTCTTGGGCCCCCTTGGGCCATCTCGGAGCCATCTTGGGCCGCCTTGGTGGCCTCCTGGCCCGTCTGACGTCGTCGGAAGCCTTCTTGGGGACCTCTCTGGGCCGACTTGGGGCCTTCTTGGGGTGCTCCAGGGCCGTCTTGGAGGCCATCTTGGGCGTCTTGGAGGCCTCTTGGGCCGTTTTGGGGCTCCTTGGGGCCGTCTTGGGGGCGTCTTGGGCCGTTCTGGGGTCATCTTGGAGGCCTTTGGGGCCATCTTGGGGCGATCTTTGGGGACTCTTAGGCTGTCTCGGACCGTCGGACGGCCAAAAAGAAGCAAATGCTCAAATCCTTCAAAGACATCTGGCAAATGAATGATTTTGGCCTCTTCGGGCCTTCCTGGAGGCCCTCTTGAAGGCCTCCTGGGCCGTCTTGGAGACCTTGGGGTCCTCTTGGGCTGTATTGGGCCATCTTGGAGCCGTCTTGGGCCGTCTTGGAGGCTTCTTGGGCGGACTTGGAAGCATTTTGGGCACTCTTAGGCCGTCTTGGAGATTATCTTTGACCCTCATGGGCCGTCTTGGAGGCCATCTTGGACCGTTTTGGGCGAACTTAGAGGCCTCTTGTGGCCGTCTTGGAGGCTTCTTGGGCTGGCATGAGGTCACCTGGGAGGATTTTAGGGCCATCTTGAGGCGATCTTGGGGGCCTCTTGGGCCGTCTTGGGCTGTGGGAAGGCGGAAAAGACGCTTATGCCAAAATCCTTCGAAAACCTATGGGGAAATCAATGATTTTGGCCTCTCCGGGCCCTCCTGGAGGACCTCTTGGAGGCCTCTTGGGCCGTCTTCGACGCCTCTTGGGGGCCTCTTGGGCCGTCTTGGGCCATCTTGGAGGCTTCTTGGGCGGACTCGGAGCCATCTTGGACCCTCTTTGGTCTTTTTGGAGGCCATCTTGGGCCATCTGGACCCCTAGATCGCGATTTTTTCAGGATGTCCTTAGCGAGACGGCTGTTGGGGAGGCAAGGCAACCACCTTTTCTGGGAGGCCGGCGGCACGGACCGGAGGCCCAGGGGAGAGTTCTTTGTGAAAAAGAACCAAAACAAAACCAGGAGGGTCTAGCACGCCAGGCACCTCTGTGATGAATCGAAGACGCCTACGGCGAACCACCGCCGCCCCCAGCCTTTTTGGAAGCCCCTATGTGGCCGAACGTTGAGGCCAGACCTGCCAAGCCATCGGACCATGTGTTCCCCGAATCGGTTTGGAAAGCCTTCGGGGAACACGTGGGCATCTTGAAGGTCATCTTGGCCGTCTTGGAGGCCTCTTGGGCGATCTTTCGGCGATCTTTGGGGGCTCTGGGGCCGTCTCTGGCCGTCGGAAGGCCGAAGAGAAGCAAATGTCAAATCCGTCAAATACCTTAGGTAAATCAATGTTTTGGGCCTCTTCTGGCCTTCCTGGAGGCCTTCTTGGGAGCCTCTTGGGCCATGTTGGACCAGCTTTGAGCCAATTTCGGCCATCTTGGTGGGTTCCTGGCACGTCTGACGCCGTCGGGAGCCGTCTTGGGGGCCTTTCTGGGCCGACTTGGGGCCCTCTTGGGGCGCTTCGGGGCCGTCTTGGAGGCCATCTTGGGCGTCTTGGAGGCCATCTTGGGCGTGTTGGAGGCCTCTTGGGCCGTCTTGGGGCCCTCAGGGGGCCGTCTTGGAAGCCACTTGGGCCGTCATGGGGCCCTCTTGGGGGCCTCTTGGGCGATCTTGGGGGCCTCTTGTACCGTCTTGAGCCGTCGGAATGCCGAGAAGAAGCAAATACCAAATCCTTCAAAAACCTAAGGACAATCAATGATTGTGGCCTCTTCGGGCCCTCCTGGAGGACCTCTTGGAGGCCTCTTGGGCCATCTTGGAGGCCTCTGGGGGGCCTCTTGGGCCGTCTTGGACTCTCTTGGGCTGTCTTGGAGGCCGTCTTGGACCATCTTGGGCGGTCTTGGAGGCCATCTTGGACCATCTTGGAGGCCATCTTGGGCCATCTTTGCCATCTTGGACGCCATCTGGAGCCGCCTTGGAGGATTTTTTCGGGACTTTGCGCTCCTGGAAGGGCCTCCCGGGACCGCGGCGGGACGTGCCGAAGCGCCAGGGGGAGTTCTTTTGGAAAAAGAACCAAAACCGAGAGGTCTAGCACGCCAGGCACCCCTGCGATGAATCGACAGGGGGCGGCGGATCAACAGGGGGTGTCAGAAGTCTGATGACCTTCGGCCCGTCCCGCCACCCTGCCTGGGTTGTGGGTCAGAGTTCTCAGGGATGCTTCTTGGGGTCTCGTCGGAGCGCTCTCGGGGGCCTCTTGCGGTCAGTTTTGGGGCCTCTTGGGAGCCTCTTGAAGGCCTCTTGGGCTCTTGGGGGCCTCTTGGGGCCTCTTGGGGGCCTCTTGGGGCCTCTTGGGGGCCACTTGGGGGGCCTCTTGGGGCCTCCTGGGGGCCCCTCGGGGCCGAGGGCTCGAAATGTCTGTTCGGATTTCCTATCTGGGCCCCCTCTTGAAGCCGTCTTTAGGCCCTCTTGGGCCTTCTTGGGTGCCTCTCGGGCCGTCTTGGGGCCCTCTTGGGCCGTCTCGGGGTTCTCTTGGGGGCCTCTGGGGCTGTCTTGGAGCGATCTTGGTGCCTTTTGGGCTGTCTTGGATCGTCGGGAAGCGAAACGGCGAGAACTTCAAAGTCCTTTGAATTATATGGGAAATGATTGATTTTTGCCTCTTGAGGCCCCCGTGGGAGGCCTCTTGGTGCGTTTGGAAGGCTTCTGGGGTCGTCTTGAGGCCGTCTTGGACGTCTTGGAGCGATCGTTCGGCGACTCGTGGCCCTCTTGGACCGTCTTCGGGGCCTCTTCGGGCCCTCTTGGCCCGTCTTGGGGCCCTCGTGGGCCCGAAAAAGTCAGGCGACAACGCTTCCCAGACCCCAGGGGAGCCGCGGCCAGCGCAAGAAGATTTGGCAATTTGGGGTCCGTGCCCCTGAGAAACTTTTCAGGATTGAGGACTGAGGCTCAGGCGATTTGACAACAGACCTGAGGACACGCCCACTCCGTGCCCAGAGGCACGGTGGCAGATATCTTAAGGCGCCATGTTCCAGAGTATTTGGAGTACCAGGGTCCAGGCATGTTAGAATTTGTTGCTTTCCACCTGCGGGGGCATACTGCTACCTGTGCCAGTTTTTGCAAGCATGATTTTTTCCAAGCGAATCCCGGCTAAAGGCCGGAATTGTTATTCGTATCAGTCGGACGGGACGCATTCAAGACAGCTTTAAAGAGGGACAGGAGTTAGAGGAGGCGCAGGACGAGATCGTGATGCAGACCGTTGTGGTCTCTGAGATATTGTGGTGTTCTCACATCTTGCGGTGTTCGGCTTTGTGAGTCGTCTTGAGTTTGCGCCCCTGTCCATCGCCGTCGCGCTCTGCAACGACCGCGTGGCTAGCCGGTCCCAATCAAAGTTTGGGCCGCCCGCAAATATTGTGGGGAGTTTCGCCATGGTGGCATCCGCGCCTCGGCTGGAACGTGGTGGCCGCCTCCTCAGCCTTCAGAAAGTTCGCAGGCCTAGAGGTTGACACCAACACCAAGATCGGTGGTGTGCCTCCACCGAGGGAAGACGATCCCGATCTCGGTGATGGTGGTAATATTCTGGCTCTGGCGTCCAAGGTGGCCAAAGTATTGCCACCAACACCGAAATCTAGTATCATCTTCCCCCTGTGGAGGCACCCCCCCGGGCTGGTGTTGGTGCCAATGTCCAGGCCTCCAAAAAGTCTGCGGAGGTCCTCTCAGGAGGGGGAAAACACACAGACACAACTATTCGTCGATTCCCAGAAAACATGCGAAAATATGGGAAGTGGTGGGGGGAAGACAGAAACCCAGAAAATATGGGAAAGTATGGGGAGTCTTTTTTATTTGTGTGTAATGGAGGATGACGATTAATAAATGACCGGGGGTCGTGTTCACGCGGCGGCTGGAAACATTTTTGTTTGATCGTTCTCCTCCAGTCAGAAATTGTGCAGCAGTAGCAGAAAACTATTTTTTTAATCGTTCTCTCCCATTTTTTTTACTAATCGTCATCCCGCATTATTTACTTGTGTGTCCTGGGGCCCCTGCATTCTCGGCCTTCAGAAAGTCGGCGGAGGTCCTCGTGGGTTCCACTCAAAAAAGCACGGTGCTCGCGCCGCGCTCCGCTGGCCGCAGCTCGGCCCTCCCGCGGCCCGCTCGGGCCGATTCTCGGGCTCCCCCTACGGAGCGCTATATCGGCACGGCGCGGCTGCTTCAAAAGGCACCCTGCGGCTGGATGCCTTCGAGAACCAGCGCACATGCGGGGACGTCAGTCAATGCGGGCTGCCTCTCGGAGAGGATGACGGTTGCCAGCGTCCGAACTGTTTGGAACGGGGCCCTCCCGCGGCCCGCTCGGGACGATATCGGGCTCCCCCCCCCAGAGCGCTATATCGGCACGGCGCGGCTGCTGGAGAAGGCACCCTGCGGCTGGATGCCTTCAAGAACCAGCGCACATGCTAGGGGGGCCAGATGCGAACCCTACCCCTACCCCACACGATTTCTGAGGGGGAGGGTGGGGCTCACTTCGCTCGGGAGCTCCCGAGCGAAGTGAGCCCCACCCTCCCCCTCTGAAATCGTAAGGGGTAGGTGTAGGGTTCGCATCTGGCCCCCTACATGCGGGGACGTCAGTCAATGAGGGCTGCCTCTCTGAGATGATGACGGTTGCCAGCGTCCGAACTTATTGGAACGGGGTTCTCCAGCGGCCGTTCGGGATGATTCGGGCTCCCCCAGAGCGCTATTGGCACGGCGCAGCTGCTGGAAGGCACCCTGCGGCTTGATGCCTTCAAGAACCAACGCACATGCGCGGACGTCAGTCAATGAGGGCTGCCTCTCGGAGAGGATGACAGTTGCCAGCGTCCGAACTGAGTGGAACGGGGCTCCAAGATGCCGGAACTGGCCCACGAGAAGGAGGAAGTGACAGACGACGATGACGACCAACGGGGATTTCGTAAACTTTCCGTAAACTTGGGTGGACATTCCTCAAAATCTCGAAAACATATCCTGGCGAAAGACCCAACCATGCGCAATTGTGAATACCGCGTTGTGGGTACCGCTTTCAGTGGAGCTCCATATGGGGCCACGAACCGTGTGAGGGGTGTGCCAAAATGGGCGTCGGGCGCATGCGGCCTGTGCCACTGGAGCCTTCGGTGGAGCTCCCTGTGGGGCCACGGACCGTGTGAGGGGTGCGCCGAAATGGGCGGCGTTGACGCATGCAGACGGTCCCACTGGGGGCTTCGGTGGAGCTCCCTATGAGGCCACGAACCGTGTGACTGGTGTGCCGAAATGAGTGGCGTTGGCGCATGCGGATCCTGCCACTGGAGCCTTCGGAGGAGCTCCCTGTGGGGCCACGAACCGTTTCATGGGTGTGCCAAAATGGGTGGCGGTCCCCGCATGCGGACCCTGCCACTGGTGCCTTCGGTGGAGCTCCCTGTGGGGCCACCAACCGTGTGATGGGTGTGCCTACATGGGTGGCGGTCCCCGCATGCGGACCCTGCCACTGGGGCCTTCGGTGGAGCTCCCTGTGGGGCCACGAACCGTGTGAGGGGTGGGCCTAAATGGGTGGCGGTCCCCGCATGCGGACCCTGCCGCTGGGGCCTTCGGTGGAGCTCCCTGTGCGGCCACGGACCGTTTGCGGGGTGTGCCACAATGGGTGGCGGTCCCCGCATGCGGACCCTGCCACTGGAGCCTTCGGTGGAGCTCCCTGTGGGGCCATGGACCGTGTGAGGGGTGTGCCAAAATGGGTAGCGGTCCCCGCATGCGGACCCTGGAGCCCGTTTCTTTATCGCTTGGGGCATGACGGGCGTCAGGGCTCCCGGCCCCCCCCCCCCCCCCTATGACGTAGCGCTCCCCCCCCCCAGTGCGTCCCGGGCACTGCCGCCGTGCGCATCGTGATCCGCATAGGTGTCCGCATAGGTGTCCGCATAGGAGTCTGGTCTGCAGTCGTCGTCGTAGTCGTCGTCGTCGTCGTCGTCGTCGTCGCCGTCGCCGTCGTAGCCGTCGCCGTCGTCGTCGTCGTCGTCGTCGTCGTCGTCGTCGTCATCGTCGTCGTTGTCGTTGTCGCTCGTCGCTCGTCGCTCGTCGTTCATCGTCGTCGTGCGCGCGGACGCAGCTGGAGCTTGTTTTTCCCAACCATCCTGTGGTGTTGGGTCCTCGTTTTGAAGAGACGGTCCCCGCGTTCCTCCTCCCTTCTTCTTTCCTCCCCCTCCCTCTTCCCTGCGTTTCGCCCACCCAGTACAGCGCTTCGTGGCCGCATAGGGAGTCTGCCATTTGCACCAACCCATTACAACGTGTTGTGGTCCCACAGGGGACTCCACCGAAGCCCCCAGTGGGACCTGCCGCATGCGCTCCGGAAGCCCAATTTGGCATTTTCACCCACCCATTACTACAGCGCTTCGTGGCCCCATAGGGAGCCCCATTGAATCCCCAGTGTGACCGTCTGCGTGCGTCCCGGAAATTCAATTTGGCATTTGCGCTATTCAGTACAGCGCTTCGTGGCCCCATCGGGAGCTCCACCGAAGCCCCCATTGGGACCGTGTGTGTGTGCGTCCTGGAAGCCCCATTTGGCCATTTCACTTACCCACTGCATCGTTTCGTGGCCCCATGGGGAGCTCCACCGAAGGCCCCAGTGGGACCGTCCGCATGCGTTCAGGAAAAGCAAATGTGGAATTTCACCCACCCATTACTCCGTTTCGTGGCCCCATAGGGAGCTCCACCGAAGCCCCCAGTGGGACCGTCCGCATGCGTTCCGGAAATTCAAGTTGGCATTTTCACCCAGTCAGCACAGCTTTTCGTGGCCCCAGAAGGAGCTCCACCGAAGCCCCCAGTGGGACCGTCTGTGTGCGTCTTGGAAACCCAATTTAGCATTTCCACCCACCCAGTACAGCGTTTCGTGGCCCCATAGGGAGCTCCACCGAAGCCCCCCAGTGGGACTGGCCCCATGCACTCCGGAAACCCAATTTGGCATTTTCATTTGCAGCGTCTCGTGACCCCACAAGGAGCTCCACCGAAGCCCCCAGTGTGACCGTCCGCCTGCGTCCCGGAAATTCAATTTAGCATTTTCACTTACTCAGTACAGCGTTTCGTGGACCCATAGGGAGCTCCACCGAAGCGCCCAATGGGACCGTCCGCGTGCGTCCTAGAAGCCCAATTTGGTATTTTCACGAACCCACTACAGCGTTTCCTGGCCCCATAGGGAGCTCCACCGAAGCCCCCAGTGTGACCGTCCGCATGCCAGATTCGGCAGTTTCACCCACCCAGTACAGCGTTTCGTGGCCCCATGGGGAGCTCCACCGAAGCCCCCAGTGGGACCGTCCGCATGCGTCCCGGAAACCAAATTTGGCACACCCCTCACACGTTTCGTGGCCCCATGGGGAGCTCCACCGAAGCCCCCAGTGCTACCGCCCGCATGCGTCCCCCCCACCCAGTGCAGCGCTGCGTGGCCCCATAGTAAGCTCCACCGAAGGTTCCAAGTCTACCGCCCGCATGCGTCCCCCCACCCAGTACAGCGTTTCGTGGCCCCACAGGGAGCTCCACCGACGGCCCCGGTGCTATCGCCTGCATGCGTCCCCCCCGCCCAGTGCAGCGCTTCGTGGCCCCATAGGGAGCTCCAGCCACGGCCCCAAGCTCCACCCAAGGTCCCAGCGCTACCGCCCGCATGCGTCCCCCCCCCACCCAGTGCATCGCTTCGTGGTCTCATAGGGAGCTCCACCGACGGCCCCAGTGCTACCGCCCGCATGCGTCCCCCCTACCCAGTGCAGCGTTTCCTGGCCCCACAGGGAACTCCACCGAAGGCCCCACTGCTACCGCCCGCATGCTCCCCCCCCACCCAGTGCAGAGTCTCTTGGCCCCATTAGGAGCTCCACCGCAGGTCCTAGCGGTACCGCCCGCATGCGCCCCCCCCACCTAGTGCAGCGTTTCGTGGCCCTGTAGGGAACTCCACCGACGGCCCCGGTGCTACCGCCCGCATGCGTTCCCCCCCACCCAGTACAGCATTTCGTGGCCCCATAGGGAGCTCCACCAAAGGCCCTGGTGCTACCGCCCGCATGCGTCCCCCCCTTCCCACTCACCGCAGCGTTTCGTGGCCCCATCGGGAGCTCCACCGACGGCCCCAGTGCTACCGCCCGCATGCGTTCCCCCCCACCCAGTGCAGCGCATCGTGGCCCCATAGGGAGCTTCATAGAAGAAGATCTTCACAATTGTGGTACCCACAACTGCATATGGTTGGGATTTTCCTCAGGATAATTTAATTCCAGGCCGATGACGGCAATCATTTGGGGGGGGGATGGAGGGGGCCGATGACGTCACGTTGCGCGCCGGCGGCGTCTGGGAATATTGAGGAGTCACCGAGGACGGGTAGCAGCAGCGTGTCGGTGGCGATCTGCACCACAACGCCTGTGTACACCATAGTGCCTGCGTGCACCACAGCGCCTGTGTACACCACACCGCCTATGCACACCACAGCAGCCGCGTGCATCACAGCGCCAGTGTGTGCCACAGTGCCTGCTGGCACCACAGCGCTTGTATACACCACAGCGCCTGCGTACACCACATCAGCCGTGTGCAACACAGCACCAGTGTACACCAAAATTCGTGCGTGCACTCAGCACGGCACCAGTGAGTAGACCACTCTGCGGTGCACGCTGAGACGCGCACGTGCGCTGTTGTGCCGACCCGCACGACAGGGGGGAAGGGTGAGGGAGGAGGAGGAGGAGGAG